ATGCGTTTATTTAATCAACTTCTTTGACGGGTTTTACCGTGAACTTAGGAAGAATGATTAAACTGTACTGCTGTCATACGCACAAGCGAAAAAGAGAAAAACGAATGCTGTCATTCTGCTGAGGCTGTGAGACATCAATGAAAATTGGGCTGCCCAACCCATTGAGAAATTGGACTATAGCCCCTATTACGATTTTTTATTCCGAGTCGCCCAGGCCCGGGTCGCGAACCCACCAACCACAAAAGAAACGATAAATACATTTTTTATTATAAAAAAAAAACATGTAAATAAGTAAATAATCCAAATAATATCGAATCACAAAGAACACTAGAAAAGCGAAAACAAAAAAGACAGATGATTTTTAAAAACGGAATTTCAGATTATCCCAAAAGACCTACAAAAATGATATATAAATCTCAGCACCCGTCGATCAGATTTATGAAAATTATAAAAACGAAAAGAACAAAAACATATTCGACTAAAACAAATAAAGAAAAAAAGAAGAGGATAGGAAGGAAGGAAAGCCATATTAATTATGATGCATCAGAGTCATGGAAGTATGAGGTGCAACATCGCTCGCATTGCAAGCTTCTCAAACCAAAGGAAATTCTCGTCATTTGCACCACTATTATTCAATTATCCCAACCCAGTACCAAATACCAATATTATAGAAGAAATCAAGAAAGATTAAAATAGAATTTGACTCTGAAAGGAAAGGACGCAGGATTTCTTAGAAGGAGGAGGCAGGCAGCTGAGGCGTTCTCATCTCAAGTTCGACTATATATATAAAAAGAACAAGAGAAGTAGGGTTCGTCTGTTTGTTTGGGTAGAAAGGGGTAGAACTGGCATTTCGTCACGCTTGTGACGAGTTACAACACGAACCAATCACTACTTCATCTGTGAGTTTGTGCGTATCGAGGACTCCTCATTCCCTAAGGGCAAAACTGTAAAAGTATCGATCATCTCAGATTTGGGCCATTTTCTATGTACGTATCAGGGCGTACTAGGCCCACTGCTCCATTCCGTACCTACGTTGTTCTCTTGTACTCAAAAAAACGTGAGCGCCTCAATATGTTTAACGCACTTAGCTCACTAATTCACATGAGTGACATTCTTAATTTTCACGAAGGAATAATTAACTTGTTCTTTGATTTTGCCTAAACTAAACAATACCTCAATCAATCAATCAATCAATCAATCAAGGTAATCTCTCAAAGCAAAATCTCATTGCAATAAGCTTCCCCAGTTTATATATAACAGAATTAGATATACATAGAATATACATATGCTAAAAAAAGATCCTAGTCGTCTTTGCCAGAAGCTCAAACCTTTGTTTGAATCAAAAAATACACCCCAAGTAATAACATTACATACATTATTATTGGGGGCAAAAAATGAAGAATAACATGTTACATTTCATTTCATCTTAAAGTGGTAGCGAAGCGAGGTCTCTTAAGCCTGCAGTACTCGAGTCTCTTCTGTCTGTTCTGAGCTGCCACAAACCTAGTGTTGTTAACCAAGGTAAGATCGTACGGTTGGGAAGAGCTCATCACGATCGTATCCTTTAAGCAAAGGTTGAGACCACGTGGGCCCACCACATTGTTGTTGCAATTGACCATCCTCCTCAATCCACTTGCACTGCCGCCGCTGGATGCCAACGAGATTGAGGAGGGCACTTGAGTAGAAGAATTAGATGGGTACCCGTACCTCAGATTCTCACAGATTTCTCTTCTTTGAGTTTGAGCCGTCTGATCCATGATGAGCTGCAGTTGATGTTGATAATGCATCACGCTAGGAGGAGGATGAATTTGCTCATGATGTTGTTGATGATACTGCTCTTGATTTGCAGCAGCAGCAACAGGGGGAGATAAGACTCTGGGTTGTTGGGCTGGTTGGCATAATGGCACCACTGCATTATTCAAGCTCGGCTCAATTTCCAAACGGGACTCTTCCTCCTGTTTATGGCCAAGTCCCATTAGCTGAAAAAAGAATAAGAGGGGGTAAGCAAATTAAAGGAAAAAAATATTATTAAAGAAAAAGTAAACAAAATCATCAGTGAGAAATTAGCAGAAAAAACAATACCTTCTCTTTCCTTGCTTTCAACTCCAAATTAAAATCATTCAGGTCGACATAATGACGCTCCACCTTCTGTAATTCCTTCCCAGTATATTAAAAAGCCAAAGAGCCATGTCAGTTTCGGCATTGGTGAAGAAATTACATAAATATAAAAAATATATATATATATATATAATTAAAGGATAATTAGCACAGTAAAATTTGAGGAAAAAGACAAATAAATGCTAGAAAGAACCAAAAAAGACTCACGAATTGTACCGATTCTTTCTCCTCAGTCAGTTCGTCAATAATCTTACTCCATTCCTCTCTCTTCTGCCCAATGAAGAACAACCAAAATAATGGAATATCAGAAAACAGTCAAAGAAAAAAAATAATAAAACCGTAATCGGGAAAAAATAAATGAAAAAAAGCGACCGAACCCAGTTGTCAGAATTGCCAGAAAAGCAAAACCTATATCACAAAAAATACAACAAAATAAAAAGAAGAAGATAAAGGATGTAAAAGGGAAAGACTCGAAACAGAGAATAAAAGACTTACCCTTTTACCGAGGACTCTTCTTCTCAATTGCTGAGGCTTGTCGTCGGATTCATTGGGCTCGAAGGAGAGCGGCGTATCAGGGCTCGAAGTTTCAACCTTGATAGCATTAGAGAGAAGTGGTACTGGACTCTTGGCCAAAGACCTGGGAGTAAAACGACACCGTAGAAGTAGTTTACTCCAACATGGTGGCAGACCAAGATGACGCAGGCGCTGCAGAGTTGAGGCGTGGTCGTTTTGCACAGCAAGTGCAGATCTCTTGCTTTTACATCCCCAGCCGAGCGAGAGTGGAACTGGAAGAGGAGACTCAAATTGGTATATCATATCAGGAAGCTGAAGCAAGATATCAGCGACCTCCATCTCACTCACACTGGGGTTTGGAGAACAAGGGAAGAGTTCCCTCTGTTCCATAACCATTGTTTCGCTCTGTTCCATTGTGATTTCTATCTCTTTCACTTTGTTTCTTCAATTGAAGGATTTGAAATATTCTTGGGCAGGCTTTGTAGCCCACAGCACATATAAATATACGCAGACCAATTACCACAAGAGAGCACAGACAACAGCGGCGTTGAGAGAGAAAATAGAGGATTTGATGAGACGAGAGAGAGGGAGAGAGAGAGCAGAGCGAGTTGCTTGGAGACGGGGTTCTTTTTCTTTTGTGTTTATAAAGGAAAACGAGAGGAAAAAAATCCTTTAGGATGTAGTAGAGTGTGACACGTGTCGAGTATATGGAGATTGAGGTTAAGCCTAGGGTTTACGGCCTTGTTTGATTTGATGCAGAGAACGTGTAAAGCAGCACTTGATGAAGTAGTGAGAAAATGGTTCAGACTAAGGTCTAAAATATCGAGAGTTTTAGAAATATCGATGGTCCAAAAATACAGATATATCAATGGAAATATCGAGGAAATATCAATATTGATAAAAATTGAATAAAAATCACGAAAATTGTGAGAAAAACTTGGAAATTTTTATTGTAACTTTAGATGATGTTTATTTAGTCAATTGTCTATTATTTTATCACAAAAAATTGGAATAAAATGTATGGCATGGTGAGTTTGAGTAATTTAAGTGGATTATGTAGCAACCTGACAAACGCTGTGTCTTTAGAAAATATGTAGTAATTAGTGAAAGAAAATTAAACACACTATAATTTTTTAGTTATAATAATTTACTACAATATATTACATATGATAAGATATATGAGCTTGGAAAAAAAAAAACAGAAATAAAATATATGAGTAACTTAGTACCACATAGAAAGAATTCGTTAATACTTAGTATCACATATAATGAACAATATTAAAACTCAATAGTGAATAATAATACAACTCTATAATGTATAACCAAAAATAAAAAAAATACAACTCCATAATAAAATAATAAATAACATTAAACATATGCCTCAATTTATCATCAGGGACTTTTTTTTCATGGAAATTTATCCTAGATAATATTAACTTACAAAAATTTTAAAGACCATATAAATATTACTTTCCATATAGCTTTTCCAGAAACATGGTGACAAAGGAATTGAGGGGATTAGGAATTAATTTTGCTTAACCTTTTAGGGTTTTTCCTAGTTGGAGTTGGTTTAACGACTGGGTGTGGGCGGTAACCAAGACAACTCCTAGTCCTCCAACCAGGACAATTTTAATTTTTATTCACCTTTTCCTCTAGTATTTTGTCCCATAAACACACAAAATTGTTAGTTAACTTCTTTTAATTGAAGCTATGTCCCTAGATTGTATTTTATTTTATGCACTTCACAAACATTTTCCTCTAGTATTTAATTTAATATTTTTTTGGGGAAACCAGCCTGACCCTAGGTTTTATGGACCAAATCGAATCTCGACCTTAGACCACTTGGGCCCTGTGGAAATTTTATTTTCCGATGATACCCAATGGACTGAAACCTTAAGCCCATGAACTTCCCAACCAAACAAAAGCAATGGGTGGTTGTTTGGCTAATATCCCTGATGGCATTCCTTGGCATTTTGCAGAGAATCGGTGCGCTGTTTGATTAAAAGGAATAAGAGAGACAGTTGCATTGCATAATATATAATGGGATATTCAAGATTTTTTTTTTTTTTTTTTTTTAGCTGTAGGACATTGTCTCATCTCATGGATTCCGTTACTTCCGGCCCAAGCAAAAACAACACACAAACAGTGAATATAAGAGCATTAATGATAATTATACGATATTAAATGAGAAGGAAAGATAAATTATGAACAATTTCATATATTTCTAAATTTGACTCCTCCTCCATGCCTCTTTTTTTTTTCTTTTTTTTTCAGGTCAGCAGCAGTTAATATTTATATAGTAAATAAATAAATAAACAAAGAAGCAATTTTGGTTAAGAATATAATCATATCTCTGGTACAGATCCAAATAAAAGAACGATTAGACATGATCCCTTCATTGCCATAGGCGAGTTGGTTGGGCCAACATTCAGTCCAGTTAAAAGTTGCCATCAATTGACCAGTATTGGTCACCATGAATGAGCTAAATCACATAATCAGAATGCCACCAAATAATAGCAGAAGAAAGGTGAAGTGCTGTGATTTGTTAACCAGAAATACAACTAAGCTGCTTGCCTTTTCTTCTTTAGCCTAGTGGACAACGCAAAGTCATCATCAGAGTCACTCTCTGAGCTTCTATCTTCAATCTTCCGCTTCTTAGACTGCGTAGATGCATCTTTAGAGACCGTTGACTTCTTTTGATTTGAAGGCACTGGGGTTGATGGTTTCTTGACAGTAACTGACTCTGTGCTCTTCTTTACAGAAGCTACAGCTTTCATTGGAGAACCGAGTTTTTGCTGCTGACTCCTCTTCTGCTTCTTCTCAAACACTCTCTTTGCCTCCTCTTTAGATAGCAAACCACACTCCATCAGCCTGAATTCAAATTGAAAATTTGAAATGCATGATTATACAGAAGCAATCAAGCACTAATTATAATTGGTCAGTTCATGCCTGCTAGAGTTGTAGAATGGGCAATACTTAAAAAGCACGATACTCCCACCATTGCATGATATGGGAGGATACACACTCTTACCCACATTGTGGAGAGGAGCATCTTCCCACTTAGAATCCGCAACCTTTGCAAGGTTGCAAAGATCAAACCTTATCAATTGCAGTCAAGGTTCGCCCTCTTTACTTCTTTTTATTAAAATCCGCTAATGGAAAACATGCATTTACAAAACAAGCAAACTGGGGTGAAAACATAAAAAATTTATGTGTATTTTACAAGTATAAAACCAAAACACTATCCAAGGCATGGCCTCTAAGAGACAACTAACCAAAAAGCAGACTTCAAACTGTCAATAGCAAGCTATAACAAACCTGAGTGCCCTATTCTAGCATGCACCAAAATAAACATGTCCATACTAAACAACAAGGCACAAGGTACAAGGTTGAATGGCAGGTACATTTAGACTTCGCTATTATTTTTATTCATGAACATCCCATAGAAGACAACAATATGTATCATTTGCTTCGAATTTCAACTCCCATATCATAATTATACATGCAGCTTTATAGACTGAAAGAGTTGCCAACCAAATAGGCCGGTTGCATGATCAGACAGACATACGCAGGTGATTCATCATAATTATACATGCAGCTTTATAGACTGAAAGAGTTGCCAACCAAATAGGCCGGTTGCATGATCAGACAGACATACGCAGGTGATTCAAAGCCAGTGCTTTGATGCACACTGCGGAGGCCAGGCAAGCGGCATAGTGGCGACTATATAACTAGCTATCAGAAAATATTAGTTGGCATAATAAAACACAGTTCCAAACAAATTATATAGCCTGGAAGCAAGCCGAAGCATAAGGCAGCTCAAACAGCACTTTCCCTAATATTTAAGGCAACGGTTCCTGTACGGGAAGTATGAGGTAAAGGAATGCAAAACCATTTCAACTTCCACTTCTCCTAATATTTTATAAGAACCTAACAGAATGTAACATCTACACAGTAATTCAGCAAGCAAAAACAGTGTTGCAATCAAACAAACGGGAGAGCAAACACTCACCAGAACTGTGCCATTTCGCTTTTGGGAACTTGCTCATAAAGCGTCTCATAAAAAATCCTAAGTGGGTCTCTCTGAATTCCAAAATACAACACAAGCATCACCTAAGAATCCCGAAGCAACAAAAAGGGAGAAAAGAAACTACATTAACAAGAAAGAGAAAGGAGAAAACCGGGACAGTGTACCTCATCGGGAGGGTCTCGCTTCTGACCAGGCAAATCATAAACCTTCTTCTCCTTCTTCTCCCTCTTCTTCAGCTCTGTTGTAAAATCTGGCCCCTTCTTCTCCTTCTTCTTCTGCTCTTGTGTAACCTCTGAACCCTTCTTCTTCTTCTTCTTCTTCTCTTCCTCCTCCTCCTCCATTTTCTTTATTGTCCTCTTCTTCAATTCCTTCATCCCCATCCCATTACACAAAGAAAATCACAAGAACCCAAATACCCGCCTTCATCAGTAAAATTCAGAGTCACCGCATTTATAAAAAAAACGAAATTTATAAAAAGATAAATAAAGTGACAGAAACCTTATCGGGCATAGCATCCTCACTGTCGTTGTTCTTCTCTTCCTTCTTAACTCTGGGTTCTTGTTTGGGCTTAGCCTTAGTGGGTTTATCAGAATCATTATCGAGCTGTTCTTCTTTCTTCACCTTGGCTTCTCTTGCCGCAGATGTGGAATTCCCATTCGCATTGTTCATAATTTTTGTGGATTTCTTCTTGTGGTTGAGCATTATTGTACCCAAGCTCATCTTATCGTCCTCCTCTTCCTCTTTAACTTCCCTCTGCACCTTCACAGGCTTCGCATCCTCCTCGGAAGGCATGTTTCAGCTTTCCCAGTGTATGAGAAATTGGCACCCAAAAACACAAAAGAAAATCGGAGTGAGGGGAGGACGGTGGGTGTGAAATTTCGAACTTCGAAAAGGGAAAAGCCCTCCGTTTTCACGGAGTTTTCGAGTTTTGAACGTTTCGGGAAACATTTGAAACCCTAGTGCAAAAAGGAAACATCGGACCGGATACGGAAATCCATGAGAGTGGGCGTACTCTTTGTGATAAAGGCTTGGATGTCTAACGGGCTAAACGAAGCCTAACTCAAGTTAGCCCATACTAAAATCTTTTATATTGTAGGCCCGATCTCAGCCCATCCATTACAAGAAGCAAATGTGGGTAGGCCGATTAGCTAAGATAGAGTACCTACCTCATTGTATCTGAGTTCGAACCTTATTCCGATACATTAAAATAATTTAGAATATCGCAATTGCAACGGGAAAAAAAGGATTCTATTATAAGAAGAGAACGATATGTATAACACCTAAATAAATAAATATGGGTTGAATAATTAATAAATAAATACACGTGTTATTATACTATGAGTGGATAAGTTGTGTAAATGACCGTGATTTCATTTATGATGAATTTCCCGTTATGATGTGTACAAGTTAGTATGGTATATTATCTATATATGTATCACTCACAGCAGAAGTAGATACACCATATCCAAACCTTCCATGATGATGAAGATTTGCAATCAACGAAGGCGGCATATATTCTTTCTCTGTATATGCGTGCTTTTTTATATACAAAAATAATGAAATGAAAAAAGTTTAACATTTTGGTATCAATCCAGACTCGGTGGGCAATTGACATGTATCGACAAAGAATGAAAAGAAAGGGTCGGTTACTCGGTGGGAGATAGAATCTAGAGCCGAGAATTTATGCCAAAGCTAACACAAATCAATCAAATGAAATGAGATCAGACCTGAGACCTACCATATATCCTCCGGGAAAAAGTTGAGCTCTATTTCCCAGAATACCTGCGTATCGTCTTAGTGTCTCCCTCACCCTCACCAGTCAGTGCCCCTTCTATATAATATATACACACACGCATATTATTATCTATCACTCGCCGAAGAAAACACAGAGACACAGAGGGAGAGAGATGGGTTGGTTATTGAGTGAAAGAAGGGGAAGGAAGCGGGGGTGGATGGAAGAGAACCTAGCCTCCCTATCCGCACCTCCTTCGCCTCTGTTGGCAGTCGTCGTCATCGTCTTGGTGTTATTATTGTTTTCATCTTACACCAGCTACAGGTCACAGATGGAGAAAACTAAGGTCGGCTTTCATATATTTCTCTTGTTTCTGCCCGTTATGTTGATCTTTTTGGCTCACTCTTTGATTAAGTACGGGAGCTTTCCGGTGCTGAGTCCGAAGACCAAGGAGAGGGTGGTTCATCAACCTGAAGGGTCAGCGTCGCCTTGGGGCGTGGCTATGTTTCTGGTGCTCTTGCTTGTCTTGCTCTGTTATCGGTCTTCTTTTCAATCCAACTGGTGGCCTCACTGGCGTTCTTATTGACCATCAAACTAGTTTTTCAGTCTTCATAACCAACCATCATCATGTACATGTAACTTATAGTCGTGGTTTTATTTTGACTGGAATTTTATTTAGTTCGTGATCCTGGTGTGTTATTAGTTAATGATAAATGAATCATATCTTAAAAGAGTTTGTGATATTCCATATTTATCAGCTCTTAATCAAACTAGTTTGTGCTATATTTCTATTTTGTTCATGGAAATGAAAATTTATTGGTGCCATGCTAAAGATGGACTCCTATTCACACCGATTGATGCTCAAGTTAGAGCCGAGTCGACCATCACGTTTTAGATTCTAGAGTCATTCTATAGTGAGGGCCCTAGATGAGGTCCTATCTCTTTGATTCAAAGGCTAATCAATTTAATCAAACGGTTAAGAGATAGAACTTTATATAGGGCGAGTTTAATAGAGAGTAAATGAAACGAAAGGGTGTAAAATTTTGTACACAAGTCATTAAAATCTTTCGATTGGTCATTTTGGTTGTGGTAAAGGGGACTTTATAGAATTAGTATAAAACCGAGATAACTAAACTAGCACAATCATTTCATGCAGTCGCTTTGGTGCGGGCAAACCGCTGTAAAGATGTTGGTAGCTCCACTTGCTCAATTGTTTTCTGCTTCTTTCTAGCCAGTTGTTCTTCCTCCTCCATTTGTTGCTCCAAGAAAGGCCTCTTGGCATTTGCAATGATCTCCTTCTTCTTCGTCGTCCTCTTACTCTGCTTATTCCTCCCCTTGGTTTTCTTCTTCAGGACAGTGCCCTTGACAGCTTCAACAGCAGCTTCAATCTCAACCTCTCTCTCTTGATTTGTCGGTTTCTCTTTCTTCCTCTGAGGCTTCACTGTGCCAATCTTTGTGGGATCCAACATAATTGTCTCAGGTGGCAGCTTATCAAGCAGAGAGTGCACTTCCCTCTCTCTTCTCTGTTTAGATGTTTCAAATGGATTTGCCACCCAGGAATCAAAGTTTGGTTCCCCACAACCAGGAATCAGAATACTGGACCAACCCATGGAGTGCCCTATGCCTAGAACATCTTCATACGGCCGAAGCAACTTTTTTTCTATTTGGTAACCTTTAACCATTCGATGGTTCATATATGTCTTGTAGATCTGAGTCCCGTGCAAATCTCTCAGGATTTGTACAGATGATCCACAGCCCAGACAAGCTAGAAGACCCTTCTGACTGAATTCCGAAGTCTTTGCCTGCCCCGGTAAAGTTTGGAGTGCCTCATCCTCAAGTTTCCTCAAGTCCCAAAGCTTAATTTTATTATCTTTTCCAGCTGTGCCCATGAGATGGCCATTCGGGTGGAATGCCATTGCCGAGATGGGGCTCCTTTGACACGGCCTTTTCAGAAGACGAGCAGAGCTTGTAGGCTTCCACATGGAAACTGTACCAAGTGAATGACCCAAAGCAACAACCCTATCGTAGGGGTCCACCTGCATCACATCAGCACGGCCTAAGCCAGTTCTGTAACTACCTACCATCTCACCCATTGTTACATCTTGATAATGAAGCTGCCCAAAATTGTTTATTGAAGCCAAAGAGGAAGTGGTTTTCAGAAATTGAAGCCTTAAAACTGCACCATGTTCCTACATGATAAGAAATGTGTATAACTTCAGTTCCATATTGAAGCATCTCAAGATAACTGACAAATGAAAGAATGCATTAATCTAAAATACAGCTGTTGTGTCAGACCATCACCAATCTATCTGGAGAGCTTTAGAAAGAAACTAAAGAAATAATTTATTAGAGTAATTGGTAGTGCGTTACGGACAGGTAAAGCCTTTAGAATGCTTGCAGGATTGTGAGCCAGTAATTAATCTAAAAGACACAACCTATTTAATGCAGTACGCTAACCTTTAAGCAATGAAGTTCAGTGCCATCCGGGTTATAAATATATGGATAACTGCCAGGAATGAGAATGTTAGCCATACTAAATAAGATAAAACAGTACTACATGTCAATTCAAAGTAGACTGAGCAGGTTTTAGTAAAATCTGGAGGTATCATCCATGTTTCCAAACAAAATATGTAAAATGGGGAGCAAATCAACATAACATTTCCAACTACTAAAAGAAATGCATAATCAACCCTGTAAATGTCAAAATATTTGCACAACAGAACTTAATACAGTTTTATACTTTTTCTGGGCTGCAGCAAAGAACGACTCATTGTGTAGGAACACCACATCACATACTGTTTCCCTAACCTGAACATCATCAGTTAGCTAATCAGCCCAATGTTCCAGTCAAACCCTGATGTTCAAATAAAACAAGGACCCAGCATTCCAGCACATCATTTACAAAAGAGGAAATTGTACTGATACCACCTAATCTGTTAGGTTTACAACCCAAAATTAATTTTATAGTATTGCTTTCAATTCTCTCTCCCATGAAATTTCTATACAGAGTTTGGCATCTTATCAAGGGCACTGAATTCACGACTAGTATATGAAGACTAGGACGTGTGAATATGGCTGCAGGAAGCATGTCTAAATCAATATAGAGACGAACAGTTTTGCGTGAAATATCAGACCAAAACTGTATCACTACTTAGTATCATTTCTATTGTTTGACTATTCTATTTCACATTCAAACAATAGCCATAGGCCCTTAAGTCCGCAGACTGCCATATGGCGACCACTTGATGTGAAATCCAACGTGCATGGACCGAGATCTGCAGATAAAAGTTAAGATTCAGGGATAAACATTAGAGTAAGGTCAGGCAGGCCAGAAATGAACAATCTAGGCAAAGTTAATCTAGACAATATACTGAACAATTTGAGCTCAAGTGTCAATATCTTCGGGTTTTTACAAACTAAATAACGCAAGGATTTTGCTTATAAGAAATAGCAATAGCAGTTCAACCCCCTTGAATCTTTATCTGAACAAATCCACCACCCAATAAGTCAGTCTTTCCACCAGGTATCAATGGTCTTACTGAAAATCCTGTCATTGGAGAGGAGAATTCCAGTTTTCCTTTTCATTTCACACAAAATTAGTTTTTCTTAGGCCAGCTGAATCAGATTTGCATAAGTGATATGAGAAAGCCACAAATCCAGCTATATAAGACATACAGGCTTTTAAGTACAATAAGGGAAATAGCAAAGCTTCACTGCAAGATTCTGAGTGACTAAACAATCATTAGAAATCAATTATAAAAAAAAAGTTAGGTATCAACGTGGTAGGACGATATCATATTGATTCCTTGAGCTTGAGATATCTACTTCAGAGCAATTGATTCTTGTTAGATCCTCCACGTCTTCTCCGTGCCTTCAGCCTCCAAATAACCTCCCTTACTTGGCAGAAGCCACTGATAATTTGGATTACAAATGAAAAAAAAAAAATCACATATATTTTATCACATGTACTAAAATAACAGGACTATATTTGTGTTTGTGTCAAGCAATGGTAAATCAAACCCCGCTAACTTATGTCTGGGTTGAGTCATGTTATCATGCCACTGCCACCCATACTGAATATCACACTAAACAAAAATTCACCTTCTCAGCCTTAGCAGCAGCTTGTGCGGATTTTCCATATAATTCTTCTCTAATAGCAAGTTGACCCTACAACTTTTTATCTTGTGAGCCCTGCAAACATTGGGAAAGCATGATGCAGTGTAAAGTAAACAAGTTCCATGAAAACTCAAATTCCTGATGTCTATCTCCAAATTAGTTTCGCTTCCTCTAAGAAACTTCTTCACACTCACATCAAGCCCATCAGGTATCTTCTCCTGAAAATTAAGATATTTAACATTTATTCTGTAATTTTGTAACACAAGGTGACAAGAGTACAGCCCAGATTGCCAAAATGATGAGGCATAATGCAATTTTCTAACTAGAAAAAAAAGTTACAAAACATATGAGAATTTCACAAATTTCAAAAGTACCGCAGCTAAAAGGCTAAATGTGGCCATAGAGCAGGAGGCCTTATCAGAGTTCAGTTAAAGAAGTAGAATAATCAAAACAAAATGCAAAAATATTAACAATATAACATCAAATGACATGAAGACATGTCTATGAGATGAGATTGAACAGCTAGTGACTACAAGCCAATACAACAGAAAGTAATGCGTACCAGTTCGGTTGGAGGTAGAATAGTGCCATCACCATCTTGTTTCACACCCATCTTGGTTAATCCAGTTTCGTATCCTTCAAATGCAAAATGCCCAGAAACTTGATGAGCAATGCAGCCCAACTAAAATATCTATATTCTTGGGCACTGATATAAACAAGCCAACCAAATACATAGTTCTACTTAATTTTAATCACTGAACTGAGTTTGAGATAATCAAGCTTTGCAACTTTTTAGAGCACCAAAAGAACAGAAAACACGACACACATACACAAACACAGAATGCGCTTGCAAAACATATATACCCAAAAATACAAAAACAAAAGAAAATATAAAAGTGAGTAATATATATTATCGAAATACCTCTATAGCTATAATTTAGTTGGTATCGTTGTTAGTCGGAGAAAGAGAGCCTTTTGATGCGTCTGGCTCCGGGTAGATAATCAGAAAAATACAGAAGCTTTGTTATATCCCTCGACGGACGGGTTTTATGGGGAGAGGAGAGGTTTTACAGAAGAAAAAAAAATATTTAATGAATGAACGAAAATAGAATAAAGGTGGAGCCCATAAGCCCGGCCCAAACTCGCCGGCGTATGTTAGAGCACTTTCACTCATTTGCCATGACAAAGGGCAAGGGCAAGGACAAGGCAAGAGCTGTTATTATTCACGTGAATAATAGCAGCCTTTACAAAAAGCTGCTTGTGTTTCCATTCAGTGCAAAAGGCTGCTTGTGTTTCATGTGAATAACGGACAGTGTACATTGTGGTGTTTGGACCCGTGATTAAAATAAAATAAAATAATTCAAAGACAAATTATTCATTCTATTTTATTTTATTTTTTTGCCGACAAGGCAAATTTATTCTTCAAAATCACTTTTTTCAAAGGCTCTAAATGATTTTTTTCATCTAATAATCTCTTTTTTATTGAAAGATATGCTGATGAGTTTACATTTCATGAACTATAGATAGTTGTTTTTTTGATCTATAGGTAGTTGTTGAACCAAAAAAAAAGAGGAAACAATTAAATATCCGAAACGTAAGATTTACAATCAAAGTCAAACACTGTCGTTTAGATTTACAGAAAAAATGTGCTAGATAACACATAAATGCACCTACAATCATGTTACAGGATAACTGTCCAGAGATGACAGATCCAAAACCTACTTGCTAGAATGATAGCACTAAAAGAATAGGCACATAATTTACATAAAACTCAACTCTCCACAAGAAACTACCAGTGGGACAATAATCTACCCTCTGGAAAATGGTGTGGGAGGGTTATCTTATGCCCGGTGATGCATTCTTCAATTTCGGTACTTTAAATCTGGATGAGAACAACTTTGGAGTCTCCGAAATCGTTATAACATCGTCTATTTTTCTCTTTGAGATGCTGCTCCCCTGCTCAACCAGAAACAAAAATATGATCCAATCAGCTTATAGACTCACAAGCACACAAAGATAAACAAGTATCTTTTGATTTTCTAATTATCCTGTGTGTGCATCTTAGCAAAATCAGAGCATGAACATGTCAGCAAATCCATCCGGTTAAAATTAAAAGTACCTTTCTGGTGTCCTTTATGGGATCAGGAAGTTGTGCAGCAGATGAATCTTTCTTCACAGTTACATTGGTTCTATCCTTAGCACTATTGTTGCCTCTCAAGCTATAAGTTCTAGTTCCTGCCGTGCAATGGTTCAAGAGAGGAGTAGAGGAAGCACTTGTGGACTTTCTTAACAAATCCAACTCCGTTGAAAGTTTGGAAACTTCTTCCTTCAACTTATTTGAATCAGACTCCATCTTAGCAATTTTACTTATTAATATTGCAACCTTGCCATCCTTTTCCTTATTTGAGGATTGTAAGTGCTCCATATGAGCAAGAAAATTTTGTATATTTGCCTCCGCCTGCTCAACTTCAGAATGCTTGCTCCTTAGTTTAGTGGTGTAATTTTCTTCCATAATCTTATACTGATTCCACACAAACTTCTTCTCTGCCAATAGTGCGGATACCTCCGAGCTCTTTTCTGAAGCGAGCTTATCATACTGCTGCTTTAACCTCCGGAGGTCATCTTCCAATTGTTTAGAACGCTGTTTCTCTTGCTTGCTTTTTTTGGGAGACTTTGTATTGCTAATTCTTTTATCCCCATCTTCGCCTCCTCCCTATAAACAATTGGGAGCTCAGAACAACATCCAAACAGAAAATCACACAAAATTACAACAGGAAGCTGTGTATATATACCTTTAAATCAGAGAATTTATTGTATAAGTCAAACCATCCTTTGAAACCTTCTAACTCACTGTCCGTATATTCTGTAGATTAATAAAAGGTTAATAATAAGATTTACATAAAAAGGAGGAATTCATATCCACATACACCAGACCTAGTTACAATCTAACATCCATGGCTCAAAATATGAGACAGCATTGCTAATTTACTAGAATGTGTTATTTCCACGCAAATACCACTGAAACCCAACATATCTGGGGTACTTTAACAGGATTGAAACTAAGATTCACAGGGTGAAGGAAGATTAACTGAAATTATTAGGAAATCATACAAAATGGAATTCTTGTTCTTTCAAAAAGGAATTGTAAGGAAATCATATAAAATCACAACAACAACAACAACAACAAAATGCTGATAAAGTGAGACCCTTTTTAGATATAAATAAAATAAAGTACTCACCTAATTTGAGTTTGGTGAGATAACCCTCTCGTTGCTTCAATCCCAGGACCAACTCAAACTTGGCCGCCTGAAGGGAGCCCGCCAACTCTTGAAATTCCAAATCCCCCTTCATCTACACCAAAAATTACAAGAAAATCACAACAAATTGGAGCAAAGCTCAAAACAACTTTTTCCAAAACCCTAATTTGAATTCATGGATAATTTGAAGAAAAAAAATTGGGGAAGTTACCTGGGAGATTTGATCTTCCAAGAGACGAATATCATAGGTCCATCGCTCGTTTTGTATTCGGACGCGATCTTCAAGGAGTTGTCGGTCTTTGGCCAGTGTCTCGAGCTGTGATTGTTGATACCGTATCATCTGCACCAAACCGCTGAATGTGTTCTGCCAGTTTTGACGTTGAGAGGAGGCTCTCGAGCGCTCCTTAACAGCCATTTGTTAAAAAGAAATCACAGAAGAAGAAGAACAAGATTGAATCTTTCTTTCGGAGCAAAGGTTTAGAGAAGAAGACCGTTGAAGAGAGTAGTAGGCTAGTAGAGTTACGAAGAGGGCTTTCAAGTATCAACGGTCGAATATCACTTCTCGTATCGTATTTTGAAAGCGAAGCGGTATATGAATTGGAAATGCAAATGGGTTAGCCTAGACTGGGTTGGGTTCCTTTTAAAAGACCTGGGCCTTTAACGGTCAGATCCTAATGGGCCCACCGTGTGCCTAAAATTCCTCACAGTCAACAGAGGTCTCTCTTGGAGCACTTCCACTCATTACCATGGCAATGGGCAATTACCATTCACTTTAAATTAATTTTATTTTTTATAAATAAACGATTAATTTTGATAGGGTTTAGGGTTTTGGTGTGGGAAGTAAAGAATATGGCAAGGTATTTATATATAAAAAATTATGAATTTTTTGGTTTTTTTTTCAATTTATTATTATTATTTTAATTGGAATGACGTCAGCATTACATCACTTGCCCAGGCAGCAGCTCAAGCTAGATTTGTCTGTGGGCTTGCCTAGGTTGATGGGCCCCACGCCTTTCCGGGGCTTACCCTTGCTCGTTTTAATTGATTGTTGATGTCATTATGATGTCAGCATTACATGACTTGCCCAGGCAGCAGCACGAGCTAGATTTGTCTGTGGGCTTGACGAGTTGGTGGGCCCCGCACCTTGCCCAGGCTTGCCCTCGTTGGAGCCGTCACGTGGGCCCAGGCCCTCTCCTGCTCGGGCTTCCCCTTGCCATTGGAAGTGCTCTTATACGTACGTGCCCATCTCTTTCTTGCCTTTTGTTTTTGTTTTTTGTGTTAATTCGTTTATTTTTTTGTTTGTATATAATTTGTTCTTCTTTATTTTCCAGGATGAATCACTTTGACATGTTCTCAAACTTGTTCAACCCTCCGGTTGATATCAATACTTTTGCAATTATTATGTAAAATAAAACGGCTGGCTTTTGATTATTCTTACAATATAGTCCTTATCTCACACAACACAGCACAGCAAAGCAAGTTGCTAAATGTTTGAATTAGAAAAGAAAGTCCATATAACTACATATTTTCAGGCAACCATGCCATTTTCTCGTTGAAAATTGATGAGGTTCCATTAGTTAATATTATAAAAGGTGATGCGTGCGGGCCAAGACGAGCAATAGGGCAAAATTGTGACCGTCAATATCTATCGTTATTGAAAGACTAGTTGATTCTTGTTCATAGCGACATTAAAAACCATAATTTCTAATCATACATAAACAAGAAGAGCTTTTATAATGTTATTCAAGACGCTTGCATTTCCAATTAATTTTGGAATAGAACCATTTTTACTTGCAAATAGGAATTCATAATATCGTAAAGGTTCTTTAAGATTTATGATCTCTCAAAAATGACTATAAATTATCCCAAATGGTAGATCAATGATAAGCAAGTGTTCTTTTTTCTTTGGCTACAATGATAAGCAAGGTTAACTCTCCAAAATTAACAAGATATCATGATTCGTTTTAATTTAAAGCAAAAGAACACGCTCGTGACATCATATCTTCAATTTTCTAATGTGTTCCTGGAAAATGTTTGCTTAAGCCTTAACCTTCCTTTTGGTATTATTACGTACGTCAATCAAAAGAGCCCCATCAAAAAAAAAAAAACAAAAACAAAAACAAAATGAAGAAAAAAAACCTTTTGGAGTTGAGAAAAAGGAAAAACAATGACTCTAACTCATTAGAATGCATAAAATCCATTGGGAGTACATAAAAACAAAAGACAAAAAATGAGGAGAACATCCCAAGCCGCCAACGGATTTCCCGAGATCACCAACTTCCGTCCATATTTACTTCGCTGCTGCCAACTTATTATTCTTCCCCCAATTCCAATTCACACCACTATATAAAATGCCATATTGCACGCAGCAGGAGCACCCCATCTTCTTCCCACCGCCTGTTTCTTATCTTTCATGTCACCACCTCCATATCTTTGCTAAGATTTGAGGTCTCTGCAAGCCTCTTTCGGCTACGTTCTTTTGGTAAGCATACGTTATACTCAACGACTTTAAGAAAGAAAGAAGAAAAAAAATACACATATGGGTTATATTTTCCCTGACTTTATGCTGTAAAACTATACTTTTTTTTGTATTGCAAGCAAATGGTCTGCGATGTATAATATAAATTTGTTGTCAACTTGACCCTTTTTTAAAAACATTTATGGACGTCATATGTGATGAACGTACTGGTTAATTTGATGGTTGATGAAAGTTTATTATAATTTTCTGTTGATCAATTTATGCAGAAGCTTGAACCTATATAACTTGTAACTCAAATTGGTGTTTCAGGATTGAGAATCTGAAGAGATGTCTCCGATTCATGGGGATCATACTGGTCAAAATGGGAATGTAAGAAGTCTTGAGACTACGGTGGGCACCCTATTTGAAATCGGTGAAGACTCTGATGTGACGAGGTTTCGTGACAGGCCAAGGCCAGTGAACGTGGAAAGGAAGAGATCCTTGGATGAAAGGTCAATCAGCGAATTGTCCAACATAGGATCTCCTTGTAGAAGGTCCTGTTTTCTGGGGAGCCCTAGACCAAGCAGCTACTATGAATCGCATCCCATGGTTGCCGATGCATGGGAAACCTTGAGGCGCTCTGTCGTTCACTTCCGCGGCCAGCCTGTTGGAACACTTGCCGCCGTCGATCATTCTGTCGAAGAACTTAACTATGATCAGGTAATTAATTAAATCCCACATATCTCTTTCTTTCAATATAGACATTTAAATTGGCTAGTTAGTCTAAGTGGCATGACAGGTCTTTGTTAGGGATTTTGTGCCAAGTGCATTGGCCTTTTTGATGAATCGGGAGGATGAAATAGTGAAAAACTTTCTGTTGAAAACACTTCGCCTCCAATCATGGGAGAAAATAGTGGATCAGTTCAAGCTTGGAGAAGGGGTGATGCCAGCAAGTTTCAAAGTGCTCCATGACCCTGTAAGAAATTTCGAAACCATAACTGCGGATTTTGGTGAGAGTGCAATAGGAAGAGTAGCTCCAGTTGATTCTGGGTTTTGGTGGATCATCTTGCTTCGTGCTTACACAAAGTCTACAGGGGACACTTCACTCTCTGAAATGCCCGAATGCCAAAATGGCATTCGCCTTATCCTCAGCCTCTGTCTCTCAGAGGGCTTTGATACTTTCCCAACTCTGCTCTGCGCTGATGGATGCTGCATGATTGACCGGAGAATGGTTGGTTCACTTGCGCATTATCCAAACACCTTTCGTACATTAATGACTCATCTCATCCTTTAACTAATTACCACACAACTACAATTTACAGGGTGTATATGGGTACCCAATTGAAATACAAGCACTGTTCTTCATGGCTTTAAGATGTGCTCTGGTTCTGCTTAAGCAAGACAACGTTGGGAAGGAGTTCGTGGAGCGCATAACTGATCGCCTCCACGCTCTAAGTTATCACATGCGGAGCTATTTTTGGCTGGACCTGAAGCAGCTCAACGATATCTACCGCTACAAAACAGAGGAGTACTCTCACACTGCAGTGAACAAGTTCAACGTGATGCCCGATTCGCTTCCAGATTGGGTTTTCGATTTCATGCCGAGCCGTGGTGGCTACTTCATTGGGAACGTTAGCCCAGCAAGAATGGACTTTCGCTGGTTCTGCTTGGGCAATTGTGTGGCAATTTTATCGTCTTTGGCGACCCCAGAGCAAGCGTCAGCGATCATGGATCTTATGGAGTCACGCTGGGAAGAGCTGGTTGGAGAAATGCCATTGAAAATTTGCTACCCAGCCATAGAAAATCACGAATGGAGAATCGTCACTGGGTGCGACCCAAAGAATACCAGGTGGAGCTACCACAACGGGGGCTCTTGGCCAGGTGACCTCATGTTTAACTGTGAAAAAAAAAATATTCTTGTTTAATTACTAATTAATTAGTTAATATGAATGATAAAATGAATTGGTTTTTGTGATGGGCGGGGGGCGCAGTGCTTCTGTGGCTGTTGACGGCGGCGTGCATAAAGACGGGGCGACCCCAAATTGCTCGACGTGCGATTGAGCTTGCGGAAAGTCGGTTGTCGAAAGACAGCTGGCCGGAGTATTATGACGGGAAGCTGGGAAGGTACATGGGAAAGCAGGCACGTAAGTTTCAGACATGGTCCATTGCTGGGTACTTGGTGGCTAAGATGATGCTGGAAGACCCTTCTCATTTGGGCATGATTTCTCTGGAGGAAGACAAGCAAATGAAACCCCTTGTTAAAAGATCTGCTTCATGGTCCTCTTAATTCAATGCAGATGGCCTTCTCATTTTCTTGCTATGCATAATGCATCTATTGTTTGTTACAATATTTTAAGCAAACACTTTGGCGTACTATTTTTGGAGAGACAGTGGAACTTTAATTAAGCATTTACAGAGCTTTGTACTCCTCTGTTTTTGCATATTCTCTTCTAAATTTTACCAATTAAACTTTTCGGAAAAGCAATAGTCTCTTTGGCGTGTCTTTCAGTTTATTGTTTGGATTTGTAAGAAACCTGTTTGCATTCGGAAAAGCAATACCAGTGTATATTCTGTTAAGGTTGTTAGCAAATGGCCACAATAGTTAGCAATCTCATTTAGATTGGCTTATCTGGCTGTGTATAAAGGAAACGTCTCGAGTTCAGAAACAAAAGTGCACTTTGGATGATACAATGTGCTCTCCTCTGTTCCTTTCATCGTGTTTTCTGCTTCTTCTTCTTCTGTGTTTGGAAGAACTGCAAATGTTTGGAGTTCTTGATTTCCCTTACCCTTGCACATTCTGCAAAGCTGCACATATACAATTTTTAGTTTCTCATTCGGAATTTAAACTTCAACCTTCCTCCGAAAGCCAGAGTGTAGAAACCACCCGGTAACATGTTTGTCCAAAGATTTGAAAGCTCAGAGTTCTATGTTTGTTTCAATTCATGTATAAGCTTGTGCCCCTATCCCTGAGAAGGCATACTGTTTGTATTGTGTGGCTGGCTCAACCTTTAGATTTGCATTTGGGAAATAAAAAATAATCAGAAATGTCAAATTATAACATTGTAGACTTAGATACCTTTAAATACATAATTGGCAGGCCATATGTGTCCTGGAAGCACTTTACAGGAGC